ACTATTACTCTATTTCAAATGGAGAGAAGAGAAAGAAAGCAAAAATTAAAGGAAGAACTTGGTAAACTTGTTCATAGTAGTTGTTTTCTCTAAGTTAAAATATACGCCCAGGACAAACAAGACTCAGGGTGTTTTGTTTTGTTTTGGGCTCGTGTCCCAAGGTGCAGCAGTGGCCGTGAACTCCCCCCTGGGTAAGATGGGGAAGGCTCTGTTTTGACGTGCGACACTGGCGTTCCCGTCCCCACCACCTGGCTGCGTACTTTGCAGGACTGTGCCTTAATGTGAGGCCTGGGGCCATGCGCGCTGTCTCCGAGCCGCAGCTCTGGCGTCTGTCTGGGGTTACTCGGACATTTCACTGGGCGCAGCGTTCCTCCCTAGCCGATTGCCCCAGTGCCACGTCCCGCGTGCCTGTTGACAGTCGCCCGTTACTCTTGCCCGGTGCATGGAGACAAAGAACATTCAGGACATGGAAGCAGAGCCAGAGAGGCGTCTTGGGCTGAGTCACCCAGGACTCGGATGCCGGCATGGAATCTGGGAGCACAGTTTGCATCAGGAAGCAGCGGTGAGCTGGAGAGTGCGGTGCCCAGGGCTCCGTCCCCGGGGCGGGGGGCGGCTCTGAGAGCCTGCAGAGAGCCCCACTCAGCGAGGACCAGGATCCACCTGCTTTTTTTCTTGTTATTATTTGCTAAACAACACAGCATTACTGTTTATATATAATTTCCATTATATTAGGTAGTATAAGAAATTATAAATGTTTAAAAATTGTTTACTTGAGAGAGAGAGAGAGAGAGAAAGCTCCCAACTGCTGGTTCCCTCCCCAAATGCCCACAGTGGGCAGGGCTGGGCCAGGCCCAGAGCAGAGAGCTGGAGACACAATTCTGTCTCCCACGTGAGGGGCAGGACCACGCGGCCGCCGCCAGGACCTCTTCCTCCCCGTGGGAAGCTGGAGTCTGGAGTCAGAGCTGAGCTCTGGAAGCAGGCACTGCAGTGTGGAACGTGAGCGTCGTTCCCTGGACAGAGCACCTGCCCCCGGAAGCAGCTCGGAGAAGACATGCAGTGTGCAACAGGTGTGTGGGTTACAGCAGATACCATGTGCGATTTTCTGTAAGGACCCAAGCGCCTGTGGGCCTTGGTATCTAGGGGGAGTCCATGTGATACCATGTAACACGTGTGAGGAAATCCATACAAGTTCTGTAACACTTCCCCCTACCCGACAGGAGAAGGCACGCCCTTTTCCCCATCAGTGATGAGAACGCAGAGGCTGAGTCGCGAGCCCACAGCCACAGTGCTAGGACGCACGAGAACAGGGATCGTGACCTGCTCTGTGCCTCCGGTGCAGGCCTGGCAGGCGGGGACCCCGGGCTGGGGGGGTGGGGGAGCCAGGCAGCTTCCGTGTCTCTGGAGTCAGGATGCCAGGGAGCCCACGGCAAGGAGGGGAGGGGCAGGGCCAGAGCAGCAGCAGCGAGGGCCTGGCCAGCCACGCTTAGAGCTGGGCCTCTGGCCCACAGGGGGCCCTCTTGGGCGTAAGACAGAGAGCGGGAATGTTCAGTAGCCTCGCCCCTTAGATCAGATCAGCTCAGAGCCAGGAGACACCGGAGCCCAAGGAGCAGGGTGCGGGGCAGGAAGGGAGATAGCGTTAAAGCAAGAGATCAGACAACAGAGCCCACGCCCTCTCTGTGCCACCCTCTGGGGGGTGCCGTGGGCCACACCGTCAGCAGGTGCTTGTCTTCCAGAAGGCGGTGTTACCCCCGCACCACCGCTGAGGGCCAGCCAGAGTGGGAGCCGTGGGCGGCGGGGGAACTTGAACTTGGGCAGAGTATTTGTTCCTCTGGGCCTTCCTAACGGTTTCTGGTAGACAGAAACGATTATTGTCAATGCCTAGTTCAGGAAAGGATGCTCCCTGGATACCCACCAAATACCAGCGCCTACTCCGCTGGGAGGCAGAGACCGTGGAATGGGAGCAGGACTAAGGCGAAGCGGTCTGCGCATGCGCTCTCTGCACATTTCCCCCCCCCCCCCCCCGCACACGCTGGAGTCGCTGCTCTGCTCGCTCCAAACCCCCAGTCATAAACCAGGCTGGCCTCCGAGCTCTCCCAGCTCCCATAACTCATGCGGTTGTGGCCAGAGCCCGCCGGGGTTGCCAGGAAGACTCCAGACTCCTGTGTTTTTCTCTGACGTTTTCTTACAGGCGGCTCCAGGATCCTGGGGATGTGTGTGTGCTCCTTGCAACACAACAGCCTTCCCCCGAGTGTTTGCAGCGAGTCCAAACACCCCATCATCTGCACGGGTTTTATTGGCTCTGGTGAGTCAGAACTGACAAACAGAAGGCAAAATAACAACCCAAAGGGCATCCGCCGGGGCCAAGCCCAGCACTCGCGGGGCACAGCGTGCTGAGCTGGGGAGGCGCTGCTGAGCCCGCCTGTGGGCAGGAGCCTGGGGACCCTGGACACCAGGAAGCTCCCAGCACCAGGGCAGAGGCTGGCGCGCAGGGCCTGCATCCGTCCCACCCAGGCACAGGTTGACCCATGCAGTTCTGCAGCTCAGACGGCTCCCCCCGGGGCGGGTGGACAGCCTGTGCTTCTGCCGCAGTCTCCAGGGGATAATTTCCTCTCTCCAGCTGCCTTCTTCATTGACTCTCTCTTCCTTCGTCACATCACCTCTCTCCATCCCCGATTCTGCCTCCATCTCTCCAGCACAGCCCCAGACAATTGCCCCGTCTGCTGTGGTCTCATGGTTGCCACCCCCTGGGTGTGAGAAACCTGACCCCGAGGTGGTGGTGTCAGAAGGAGGAGCCTTCGGGTGGTGATGTGGTCATGAGAGATGGGATCCATGTTCCTTTTTTGTTTTTTAAAGATTTATTTATTTAAGAGGTAGAATTATAGACAGAGAGAGGGAGAGACAGAGAGGTCTTCCATCCACTGGTTCACTTCCCAAATGGCTGCAATGGCTGGAGCTGGGCTGAAGGAAGCCAGGAGCCAGCAGCTTCTTCCAGGTCTCCCACGTGGGTACAGGGGCCCAAGCACTTGGGCCATCTTCTACTGCTTTCCCAGGCTGTAGCAGCAGAGAACTGGGTAGAAGTGGAGCAGCCAGGACATGAACTGGTGCCCATGTGGGATGCCAGCACTGCAGGCAGAGGCTTAGCCTACTACGCCAGCACTAGTCCCAAGGGATCCATGTTCTTATAAAAGAAGCCCAAGGGAGTGTGTGTGTGCCTTCCACAGTGCAAGGACACAGCCAGAGGCACCATCCCAGGACCAGACACTGAGTCTGCAGCCGCCCTGGGCTTGCTCTCCCCAGCCCCCAGAGCTGTGAGTAAGGCAGCCTTGCTCTTCACGAGTGAACAGGGCCATGGTGATTGTTAGAGCAGCCCCAAGGGATGGAGACACAGAGCCAGGGCTGTGGTATAGCAGGTAAAGCCGCAGCCAGTAGTGCCGGCATCCCATACGAGATTGGAGTCTTGGCTGCTCCACTTCCCATCCAGCTCTCTGCTATGACCTGGAAAAGCAGTAGAAGATGGCCTAGGTGCTTGAGCCCCTGCACCTGTGAGGGAGACCCAGAAGAAGCTCCTGGCTCCTGGCTCCTGGCTTCAGCCATTGCAGCCATTTGGGGACTGAACCAGTGGATGGAAGACCAGTTGACCACAGGAGCCATCGCTGGAACAAATGACCTCTATGTTCTCCCCTCCCCTGTCATCCTACCAGGGAGTCCGCGGCCAGGCCGACAGTGCACAGGGCCTGGCTCTGAAGGCGTGCTACCTGAGCAGAAGCCCGGTGTGCTCTGTTTGGGTTGCAGCAGAAGAGACTGACTGGTGAAGGGAAGGGTGTTACAAGCTGCACACACCTCTGGGGCCACCAGCCCCTCCTTGTTCCGAGAGAAAGTCGAGGGCCAGAGAAGGCAGGGCTTTGCCCAAGTCACCAGCCAGCGAGCGGCTGAGCGGTCACAGAGGAGACAGAGCCATTTCTGGGTGACCATAGAAGCAAAGCCAGAGCCAGACACCGGGGCAAGAAGGCAGTGTGGCCGAGCGGGAGGCCAGGTTCTCCAGGGCGACGGCATCCGTGGTCTGTGTCGTGCTGTGCTTGCCAGCACTGACAGCAAATCCGCAAGCACAGGGCAGGGGTGGCCCCCGGACCTGGTGTTAGGACACCCATGTCCCACGTCAGGGTCAGTGCCTGGGTTAGATACCAGCTCCCGCTCCTGATTCCAGCTTCCCGCTGAGGCAGACCCAGGATTGGGTCCCTGCCACCACGTGGGAGACCTCCACTGATTCCCGGAAGTCCAACTTCACCGCAGCCCAGCCTCCGCCATTGTAGACATTTGAGGAGTGAAGCAGCAGGTGGGAGCTCTGCCTGTCTCTCTATGCCCCTCAAAGTCATTAATTCCATTATAAAAACAAAACCCACAGGCCAGGAGTTCCAGGAATGGAGGGATAGGGCTCAGGGAGGCTGCCCCACCTTGCCCAAGAGCACCCTGCAAGCAGGTCACCAATCGCAAACACACTACTTGGAAAGCCATTAAAACCCGCAGTAACTAGCTGCTTTGGGTTCTTTTTGTTTCTTCTCTATTTTGTTTTCCATGAAATTCAAGGCTGGGTGGGTAAAGAAAGGAATTTGATAAACTTGCTCAAGCCTGGAACTTTTCCCAGAGCCCCGAGTACAGAGAACCCAGTGGGCTGGACACACCCTCTGAGCCAGCCCCTCTGTTCCTGTGTGCTCCGTGCGTGGGCAGGGCTGCCCCAGGGAGGGCCGGAGTGGAGTGGAAGGAACTGGCTCTCGGGGAGGGCCCGTGGGGAGGGTCCACGCTGCTCCCGACTCTGTGCATCTCTGAGCACGGAGTGCAGAGGTGGCAGGACAGAGAGGTGAAGCAACCTGCCTGAGGTCACACAGCAGGGAAGAGAGCGCCCCTGTGGCCAGCCCCCCAGAAGAAGGCTTGGGATCAAGGGTCCTGCCTCGGGGACACGTCCTGGGGCTGGAGGGAGCCCCCCTCCCATTCTCCCCAGACCACAGAACATCGCTGCTCCAGAACGTCTCTGCTCCCCGTTAGCTGGCAGGGGCCTGAATTTCCAAACAAGCGCTTCTCGCGCAGAATCAACAGCTCCGCGGCGCCCGGCGAGAGCTCGGCCCCAGGAGACCTCGGCCTTTGCGCAAAACAAGCGTCTGCGTAACACACTGTTTTTATGGTTTTATTCCCAAACCGGCAGAGCGATGTTCAGCAGACGGCCCCCGCCTGCCCAACAGGAAAATGAGAACTTTGGCATGGGGAGAATTCCAGGCAGAGGTCGAGGGCTAGAACCCGCCCAGACGCCGGTCGGAGTCTCCAGGCTGGGGGCTCTGTTCTCTCTCCCCTGAGTCCAGCAGCCTTGTCTGCTGGCGAGAGCGGACAGGCTGGGGTTTGGAGCTTCCTACAGGTGCATCGTCTCAGAGTCCTGGCCCTTCGAGGACTGTGCCTAGTGGAGGTCAACCCAGATCGTCCCCAGTGCCCTTTGTGCTTTGGCATAGAGGGGGTCTGTGTGTCTCTTTTGAAAACAGGTTCTGATCAGAAGTGGGCGGGGTTGGCCGCCATGAGTGACAGGTCACAAGGCGGAGTCGGCCAGCCCTGGCTACAGTGACATCCCTTGCCTGCCTGTCAGTCACACCCTGTGTCCACGTCGTTCTGGCCACACTGCCCTCCTTCTAGTGCTTCCAACCCGCAACTCCCTTCTCAACTCTGGGTCCTGTGCCAGGTGCTACGATGCCCAGAACCCCCACCACGGCCAGACCCCGCGTGCCCTGGGCTAATCGCTGTGGGTTCAGTCCCCTCATCTGTCCACAGGGCTTGGGCCAGCTGCAAGGCCCTTGAGCCCCTGCTGGGTCTGTCCAGGGTCTGCAGGTGTCCCTGGGCAGGGCAGCCAGGGCTCATTCTGCTCACGACAGTGCACCGCTGTGTGGCAGGTGGGCAGAGTCCACAGTCTGGGCCAAGGCCACTGGGCTCACAGTCAGGGACCCCTCTGGGCATCTGTGGGGGCTTGAATGGGACCCCTCTTAAGAGCCAGCCACCGTAGGCTCACCTGGGCAGACGTGGGGGCAGCTAGAGCCCCCCATCCCCTCTGAGGGTGCTGTGATGAGCTGACAGAAGGCAGATGCGCAGAAGAGGTGGCACCTATGCCAGCATGCGGCTAGATCACTGGGATGGGGGTTCCGGTGCTGGCGCCCTCATCTTCAGGGGGCAGAGGGAGCTGGGGGCTGCAAGGTGCAGAGGCCAGGCGGGGCTCAGAAAGAGGTTCCCTAGGGAGGTGGAGTGGCCTGGGACAAAGCCGGGGGAGGTGTCTGCTGGGCCCCAGGTTTTCCCGGTTATTTCATGAGATTCCAGGTTGGGGGGGGGGCTATGACAAGGTGGGACAAGCGTGTTTCTTTGAACAGCAGAGTCAGCCCTGCCCGTGCTGGCCCGCGGGAGGAAAAGAGGCTCAGGAGACACGCGTGGGGGCTCAGAGAGACCTTGACTTGGGGATGGGCCCCCAGCTCAGCAGGTGAATGACAGGTGAATGTGGGGGAGGGGTCATTTTCTGAGCCTCAGTGCAGACGGGATTGAGGGCCCCGAGGTGGGGTGGGGTCTAAATGCAGTGACACGTGTCCTCACCAGAGAGAAGGAGACCCAGCAGAGACCGGAGCCGTTGGCTGTGAGGCCACCTGGCACTGGGCGTGAAGTGGGGGGTGGAGGGCAGGCTCCTCAGAGCCCCAGGAGGCACTGACTGCCCACGTGGGTTCTGGGCTCCTGGGCTCCTGGGCTCCAGACGTGAGCTAAGCTTTCAGCCACCGCGAGCCAGCAGGCTGTGGTCATCTGTGAAAGTGACCCAGACACTGACCACGGGGTGCGCGGGGTGCTGTGCATGTGTCTACGTGCACGTGTGGGTGTAGCATGTTGCCTGTGTGGGGTGCATGGTGTCTGTATGTGTGTGTGTGGTACATGCATGTGTGGTATGTATGTATGAGTGTAGCATGTTGCCTGTGTGGGGTATGTGTGGGGTGTATGGTGTCTATATGTGTGTGTGTGTCCGTGTACTGCATCTATGTGCACGTGTGAGCCTAGCGTGTTGTCTGTGGGTGGGAGTGTGGCGTGTGTTGATGAATGGAGGTTATAGTGTGGTGTGTGTACTTTGTAGTCTGCACAGTGTGGTGTGAGGTGTGTGCGAGTTTGTGTGTTTAGACAGGGAGGGGGTGCCCGGTCAGACCCCCTCAGTGCTTCCTCTCCCTACTCCTCTCCCCCCTCCCTTTCCCCTCCCCCTCCCCTGTCTCCCTCCCCCATCTCCTTGCTCCCCTTCCCCTTTCCCTTTCCCTCCCCTGTCTCCCTCCTCCCCTCTCCCACTCTTTCCCTCCCCCTCCCCCTGTCTCCCTCCCCTATGTCCCCCCTCCCCTCCCCCTCCCCCTGTCTCCCTCCCCCATCTCTCCCTCCCCTCCCCGTCTCCCTCCCCATCTGCCTCCTCCTCCCCATCTCCCCCCTCCCCTGCCCTCCCCTCCCCCCGTCTACCTCCTCCTTTCCCCCCTCCCCTTCCCCTCCCCCTCCCCTGTCCCCCCCCCCCAGCTCTTCCCCTCCCCCTCCTGCAGACAAAGCATTGCTCTGGGGCCGGCCCTTGTCACCCATCCGCAACTGCCGCAGGGCAGACACAGCCTGGGAGTGGAGGAGAGAGTTTCCGGGGTCCTCTCCTTGGTCCTGAGCCCGAGTGGCCTGTGGTCTTGGCCACCGCACACCGCACCTGCTCATGGGCCTGGGGCAGACAGGACGGGAACCAGAGTGGATGGCTCTGTGGTCCCCAAAGGCCTGGCCGGCCTGGGGTCTCTGCAGAAGACACGTATGTCCCTCCAGCCAGCCTGGTCCTGGGCGAGCTGCCCGGGCCCAGCATGGTGGCCAGCTTCCTGTCACCCCCTGCGCCCCCCCAGCCTCTGCAGGCTCAGGGGCTTGGGCACGGAGCTGCTGCCCCAGGGCTCTGAAGAGGAGAGTGTTTGTTGTGCTGTTGAAAAGACCACAGGGCAAGCTTCACTCCCCTGTCCCAGGGCAGTCTGCAGAACAGTCGGCCACAGACGGGCCTGTGACCAGCCCTGCCCGCTCTCCGGCTCAGTGAGACAGCAGGCTCCCACAGGGCTCGGGCCCCAGAGCTCTGGGCGCCAGGGGCTTCCAATGAGCAAACTCGCCGGTGGCCCGCGAGGCCCTGCCACGCTGGCCTCCGTTCCTTGGCTCCATCCTCATCCTGGCGACTCGCCCTCATACATCTCCCCTGCCCATCACTTCCTACAGCGAGCCAAGCCCTTCCCAGCCCGGGCTGCTCCCTGCAGATCCCTCCCGCAACGCATGCCCCCCCCCCCAGGGTGCTCTGGACGTTTCCAGAGACGCTTTTGGCTTTTTTCTTTTTTAAAAAAGATTAACATCTTTACATGAAAGGCAGAGTTACAGAGAGGCAGAGAGGGAGAGAGAGAGAGAGAGAGAGAGATATCTTCCATCCACTGGTTCACTCCCCCAGATGACCACAGTGGCCAGGGCTGAGTCAGGCCAAAGCCAGAAGCCAGGAGCTTCCTCCTGGTCTCCTACCTGGGTGCAAGCACATTAGCAGGGAGCTGGATCCGAAGTGGAGCAGCCAGAACTCGAACCAGCACCTACATAGGATGGCGGCACAGCAGGCAGCAGCTTTACCTGCTACGCCACAGCGCCGGTCCCCCAGAGAGGCTTTTCTGGACCCCGTGTCATCCAAGTTGGCTCCTCGCTTCCTCGACTCCTGTCATTCATCTCTCCCTTGTCAGTCTGAATCCTTTCCTTCACAGTGGGAACTGTAAGAAAATGGCGGTCCATCTTCAACACAGCATGGAAAACTGCTATACCTGACTTGCAAATGTAGAAAACTCAGCAGGCAAACAGGCTGTCTTGGAGCAGCCAACTCACAAGAGGATATTAAGGCACAGAGAGGAACGAGGAAGCTAACTAGGGAACGTGGGCTGCACCTAGGAAGGCTGTGTGCCCGTAGTCCTCACCTGGGGAAGGCTGTGTGTCCCGTAGTCCTCACCTGGGGAAGGTGTGTCCCGTAGTCCTCACCTGGGGAAGGCTGTGTCCCGTAGTCCTCACCTGGGGAAGGCTGTGTGTCCCCATAGTCCTCACCTGAGGAGGGCTGTGCTCCCCGCAGTCCTCACTTGGGGAAGGCTGTGTCCCGTAGTCCTCACCTGGGGAAGGCTGTGTGTCCCGTAGTCCTCACCTGGGGAAGGCTGTGCTCTATAGTCCTCACCTGGGGAAGGCTGTGCTCCCCGCAGTCCTCACCTGGGGAAGGCTGTGTGTCCCGTAGTCCTCACCTGGGGAAGGCTGTGTCCCGTAGTCCTCACCTGGGGAAGGCTGTGCCCCGTAGTCCTCACCTGGGGAAGGCTGTGCCCCGTAGTCCTCACCTGGGGAAGGCTGTGTCCCGTAGTTCTCACCTGGGGAAGGCTGTGTGCCCCGTAGTCCTCACCTGGGGAAGGCTGTGTCCCGTAGTCCTCAGCTGGGGAAGGCTGTGTGTCCCGTAGTCCTCACCTGGGGAAGGCTGTGCCCCGTAGTCCTCACCTGGGGAAGGCTGTGTCCCGTAGTCCTCACCTGGGGAAGGCTGTGTGTCCCGTAGTCCTCACCTGGGGAAGGCTGTGCCCCGTAATCCTCACCTGGGGAAGGCTGTGTCCCGTAGTTCTCACCTGGGGAAGGCTGTGTGCCCCGTAGTCCTCACCTGGGGAAGGCTGTGTGTCCCGTAGTCCTCACCTGGGGAAGGCTGTGTGCCCCGTAGTCCTCACCTGGGGAAGACTGTGGGCCCCGTAGTCCTCACCTGGGGAAGGTTGAGTGTGTCCCGTAGTCCTCACCTGGGGAAGGCTGTGTGTCCCGTAGTCCTCACCTGGGGAAGGCTGTGTGCCCCGTAGCACTCAGCCAGGGAGGAGCCTGGGGAGCGACCTCCTGCTAGGACACACATTGCTGGCTGTCATTGCTCAGGGGTGCCTGCTGGTCAGGCACATCTTGCAACACCGATAGTAACATCTCGCTTTGGCTTCGCTTCCTGAGTCCCGGTCCATCTCTTGAGACGGCAGGAGAGACCACTGCCCACGTCACCATGATTTACACATACATTTCTTTGATTCCTCGGTTTCTCGCACAAGACTGGGGACTCATCAAAGGCACGGATTCTTTTTTATTCACCTGGTCCCCAGTGGGTCATGCCTGGGGCATGGTCAAGGCTGGTGTCAGTAGGGATGAAAGAGGCTAGACCCCAGGAACAAGCATGCCTGGGTCTCAGGGGTTCTAAGCACTGATTTCTTTCTGCTTTTTACTGCCTCTGCCTCACAGGTGAGCAAGGGACTGGCTTGGAGCCCGAGCACTGTTGTCACTGAGGGACTCAGACTGGGACAGTCGGCCTTGACTTTCCACTTTCTGCAGCAGAAAGAAGGGAGTGTGGAGAATCACACAGCGGCTTTGACATACTTTACTTTGCAAAGCCACTCACACGGCCCTGAAGAACCAGACATAGAAGCCAAAGATTTTGAAATCTCCCCGTGGTCAGTTGCAGACATAGCCTCATTCGTCCAGGCCTCCTGCATCTGTGCCCCCTTTGCACGGCAATGTTGTAGATCTTGTAGCGAAGAATTGGGACTGTGTCCCACTGCTGGAGTCTGGCTGGCCACATGTGGACTTGCCACAGCAGAAGGGGCCATGGAGCTTTGAATCCAGGTCAGAGTCTTGGAATGGTTCCACTCATTCTCTCAGAACCTTTCCTGTGCCGCACGAGTAAGCCTGGGCTAGCCCAGTGGAGGAGGAGAGACGTGAGGCCCAGTTACCTTCATGTTGTCAGCCCTTAGCAAGCCCACTGCCAGACACGTGATCCTCTTGTAGCCTCCGGCCTCTGGCTCGTGGAACACAAATCCCAGCCCAGACCAGCTGAGCCTGCCCAGGTGACTACGCACCCCTGGGGCCCTGGACTTGTGGAGACTCTGGTTCCTGGCCACTGAATTGGGGATGGCTTGTTAGCCATCAACAGCAAGCGCTGTAAATGCTAGTGACGATATGGTGCTCAGAAAATACTGGTGTTGGATGAACTAGAGAGAATAAAGCAGCTTCCTACCCATCACGCTCAGGCTGGGTGCCCAGAGACTGGCGATCCTTCTTTAACTTGTGAGGGTCTGTATGAGCTGTGGACAGGATTGCACTGGGAGGCCTAGATGTCATTCTAACTCTACCACCCCCTCCAGCAGATCTTAGCTAAGTCCCGCCCCTTTCTTGCCTCATTTCCTCCAATGAGCAACAGGGAGGCACGCTGGTGCTCGCCAATGGCCTGGCCAGCCTTCCAGCCTGGAATCTCCTGTTCCGTGCAGGATGAGACCTCCCAGAAGAGGAACCACTGCAGGATGGGACTTCCCAGTGGTTCCCCGGACCAGCGGAATTGACCTGGAAGCCATGGCTCTGTCCCAGAGAGATGGGTCTGTGGTTGTGGTTGGGGATTCCAATGCTTCAGTGGTGGTCTCACAGCCACAGTCAAACCCCAGTGATGTGTAAGCTTGTCTCTCCGCCAAGCCAGAGTGGGAGCGGGCCCCTCAGGGTGCAGGGACGGGCATCATCAGTCCTCGGGTTTCAGGAGCCCTGTGGTGCTTCAGGAAATGAGATAAACGAATCCCCAAATCAGTATCGTATCCCAATTCTGATGCTGGGCCCATCCACTGGATCTACTTCAGCCACTGTATTTTCCTGTTCTAAAATTTCCTTTTTCGTCTGCTTTGTGTGTTCTAATTATTTGAGAGAAGAGAGAGGAGAGAGGAGAGAGAGAGAGAGAGAGAAAAGGGGGGGGGAGAGAAGAGAGAAAAGAGAAAAGAGAGGCATCTCCCAAATGCCTGCAACAACCGGGGTTTGGACCAGATTGAAGCCAGGAGCCAGGAGGCAGGAACTCAACCAGATCTCCCCTGTGAGTGGCAGGAACCCAATTCCTAAAACTATCACCTGCGGCCTCCCAGAGTGTGCATTAGCAGGAAGCTGGAACTGGGAGCAGAGCAAACTTGAACCCAGGCACTCTGATATGGGATGCAGACATCCCAAGCTGTGTCTTAACTACTAGACAAAACGCTTGCCCAGTATTTGTTCTATTTACTGATACAATTTTCTGTTTTCTTGCCATAGCTTAATATTGCTTCATTTGTTCGAAGCATTCTTACAGTTACTTGCTGAAACGTTTTTATGATCGCTCCTCTAAAACCTTTATTGGCTAATTCTTGCACCTCTGTTGTGGTGGTATTGGCATCTATTGATCATTTATTGCCAATCAGCTTGAAAGGTTCCTGGTTATTAGCATGATGAGTGATTTTTTAGAATCAATTGAGAAACAGCAAGGACGGGATAAATACAGAGAGAGGAGAGAGAGCTCCACGGACCTGTTCACTCTGCCAATGTCTGCCACAGCCGGGAAGCTGAAGCCAAGAGCAGGGAACCCAGCTCAGGGAACTCACCCGTGCGGTGGCAGGGACCCAACTCCCTGAGCCGGCATCTGCTGCCCTAGGGGGTCTGCATAGCCGGCAGCTGCTGTCAGGATTTGCAGCAGGGATCAAACACACGCACTCCGGGTTGGATCCGGCTTTCTGATCCGGTCTTTACCTGCTGGGCCACATGCCTGACCCTGGACATTTTCATGTCATGATGTGGAGACTCCGGGCCTCACTGCAACCTTCCGTTTGGGTCGGCTTCTTCTGAGACGTTCGTGGTGAATGATTGACAGCTGGAGGTTGAAGCTTAGGTTTCCATCTTTGGCCTCCAAGGCATAGACCCAGGGGCTCCATGTTGACTACGTCTCAGTCGATCCTCATCGGAAGAGGGCAGGGGGAGGGGCAGTTGTTCTCCTAGTGCTGGACTTGACCCTGACCATCAGAGAGAGAGCAGAGCCATGGCGTCACGCAGCACGGGCCGGAAGTGCCTCAGCACAGCTCAAAGCATGTGCTCTGACCCACTTTTCTCAACAGCTTCTCCGCGCGGCTCATGATACGCATTTTCAGCCCTGAATCTCAAGGGCTCTGGGCAAGGCCTGGCCCCCTGTGGGTGCTCTGTACACGGGACAACCTGAACTGCAGCTGCCCAGGAAGGTAAACAGAATACGAGGCAGCGGCACTCAGGGGCACGGGGCAGGTGCAAGCAGCCTTTGGCAGGGCCAGAGTTGGGTGGGAATGTGTGCTCTGCCCGCGGGGCCCTGGGCAGGTCCCCTCCCCTCTCTTAGGCTCAGGCTCCCAGTCTGAACTTGGGGGTTAATGCGAGCTCCGTGCTTCAGTAAGACAACACATGCGGAAGCCTCCGGCACCATCCCTGGGGTGCCATGGGCCAGGCTGTGTCTTCTTCCCTGCTAGCATGAGGTCCCAGTGGAGTCTGGAGCAAAAGCAGTTTGTGGGGGAGGTGTGGGGCGTTGAGACCAGAGGATGGTGTTGGGGGAGGGCAGGACTTGCAGGGCAAAGCAGATGCAGAGGTGGCCCCAAGGGTGTTGCTCTGCACAGGGGAGCCCTGGGAGACTCCCGGCAGCCTTCCTGGCACCCCACGTCCCCCAGTTCAGAGGCACTGTGAGGCCCGGGAGGGAAGCTCCTGAGGGTGGGGAGGCATGGGGCTGCCCCACCCCCACCAATCTGTCAAAACAGAGGAACTGGGGAGGCAAGGTCAGTTCTAGACCGCCGTCCAGAGTGTTCTACCTGGAGACAGGTGAGCACTGGGGGCCTGCCATCACTCCATGAGGAAGTCCACAGGAGGCCAGGCTGAGGCCGCTGGACAGGTGGTCCATGACTGGCTCCATCTGGGAAGTCCACCCAGGTGCACACACAGCATGCACCAGGTCACCTTGGATAGAAGCCTGGAGAGGAGCCCTGAGCTGTGGCCATTTGCTTGGAATTCCTGAGTCAACTTTGCAGGGGTCTGGGCAGCACTATGGAAGCAAGGGCTCGGGTCAGGAGAAAGGACGAATACCAGCGGCTTCCGTGGCCCCGCTGCACACGGCGGCCCCTGCACCTCGTGCGTGCTCGCGGCTCCCCACGCGCACCGGTGCAAGCCTTCTTCCCACAGCCGGAAATGCTGCCCCTGGTTCTCCAGGGCAAACGCCCGTCCACATTTCAGCATCCTCGGGTGAGATTTCTGCTCCACTTCCAAGGAGGAGAAGACCTGTAAAATACTCTGTTTCAGACTTTTTCATTTATTTACCTTCTTATCCACACAAAGGGCAGAGAGAGAGGCTCCCAGGTAGGGGCTGTGTGCATCCCAACTGCATTGGGAGTGCTGCGCCAGACGCCCACCCCTGATGTCCTCACAGCCTCTCTGTGCCTCTCCTGTAGCCTTCCGTGCAGCCGGGACACTCCTGGGGGCACTAAATTACAAAGTAGGGGCCCTGGTTTCTATCGTGTTTCTGTAGTCGAATGAGACAAAGTCCTCGGTCTACAGTCGAGGGGAGAGAAATTAACAAGCGTGCACGCAACCGTTCACCAGGAAAGAGCAATGAGGGAGATGGGGAAGTGTCACGGAGACCTGAGGGGGAGGGGAGGCGCACTTCCAGGGTGCAGGTGTGAGGTCCCCGGCTGGAGGGAGGGTCAGTGCAAGCTGGGCTTTGCCAGGGCGTGGAGATGCATGCAAGGGGTGGGTGGGGAACGCGGGGAGGGGGTGAGGTCCCCATGGCGCCCTGTCTAGAGGCAAACTCTAACTTGGGGGGGAGGGAAACGGAGGCCGCTTTCTCCAGGTGTGCCCGGGACTTTCCAGGTGTGTGTTAGAAAAGGCGGCAGAAGGTTTGGGGCAGGTGGCCTGGGTCTCTAAGCGGCCATGAGGAGGGCTCTTGGGAGCTGAGCACGCAGCGGGAGGGGCCATCAGCAGGAGCGGGCTGGGTGAGGGGCCGGGAGCCACAGAGGCCGGCTGCTTCCGGAAGCTGCTCGGTGCAAAGAAGCAGCCGGCAGCACCTCATTGTGTCACACAGAAGGGGTGTTCCGGGGGCTGAGCACAGGACCATGGCTTCCGAAACTGAAAGGGGCTGCGGAAGCAGACACAGAACAAAACGTGGGCTGCTCGTTTCAAATCACTTTCTTTACGGGACTTCCTGGCAGGCCAACCCACGTGGCCTGGGCTCTGCTGCCTGCTGTGGATCTTGTTTTTGTTTTCTGGTTTCAACTGAGCCGGTGCAGGGTTCAGTCTGCCCACGCGGCTTGCATCAGGAGTGGCTCCATTCTGCCTCGTTCTGGTCTGTGGGGACCAGAGCAGGAGGCTGGCTCTGCCCATGGCTTTTTGCAAGTTTCATTTCCCAGATGATGACAGAGAACCAATACCAGGCGTGGGCCACACCGCTGGGAAGTGGTGGCCCTGGGGTGTAAGCTCACGTTCACTGCTCTCCAAGTCCACACCCTAACCTCTGAGGCAGACTCGCGCTCTCTCTCAGAACCCCTCCTTCCTTCTTGCTGTTAGGTCACAGAATTTTTACCTAAGCAGAAGGACATGGAGCTAACATAGATGTTTCCCAGAGTCCTTTGCGTTGAGGCAACTCCTCCTGCTGGTCACATGCACTGAGGGTGTGACCAGAACTGCTATGGTTTACACAGGATTTGGCTTCTGAACTCAAGCAGACATTTGTTTATTTACTATTGAAAGATTTATTTAAGTATTCAACTGGCAGAGCAAGAGTGGGAGAGGCAGAGAGAGAGAGAAGGGAGCTTCCACCATCTGTTGGTTCACTTCCCAAATACCTGCACGAAGTTCATGGCCAGGAGCCATGAACTCCATCCCATGTCCACCATGAGTGGCAGGAGCCCAGGTTCTTGGGCCATTTCGGCTTCCTTCCCCACTGCATCAGCGGGGAGCAGGATGGGAAGTGGAGTAGCTGACATGGGATGCCGGCATCCCAAGCAGTGCCTTAACCCACTGAGCCACGCCAGCCACTCACGATGACGTCTAAACTCCAAGGTCATTAAGTTAATGCTACTAAGAGGGTGGGAACTTGACCCAGTTGTGAGGTTTGGGAGATGGGCCTAGTGGGAGGTCCCAGGTCACCGGGGATGCCCCACACGGTAACCTTCAGGAGAGAGTTGGTTATAAAGCCAAGGGGGACCCAGCCACTCTCTCTACTTCCTGGTCACCTGTGAGGTTTCCTCCCTAGTGTCCCACACTCAACCATTGCCACTTTCACCAGAAGCCAAGCCAGTGGGTCCATTTCACCTTGGACTTGAATCTCCAAAGCCACGAGCTACATAAGCCCTTTCAGTTCATAAAGTTAGTTGTCTCGGGTGTTTTGCTGCAGTGCCATGCAGCTGACTGATATAGGAACTAAAGCAGTCATTTTAGAATAGGAGACGTAAGTTATAAACTGAGAAAGAACAGTAAGACTGAAACCTGGGTTTCGATGATTGTGACTCCAACATGGCAGCCCTGGAAGATAGAAGAAGTCTGAACTCCGAGTCGTGTGGAGTCACCATAGGAGCCCCTGAACCACTCACCCAGAAGTTCATAGGAAAGATAAGCAACTATACATGTCTGCCTTACTTAAGCCATTTCATGTTAAGACTATCCATTACAGCATCCAACCTGGTACCAAACCTGGGGCAGTTACTGTATCCTACCACCCTGTGTCTAAGACAGCCCAAAACTTACTGAGGGTAGCAGGAGGGGGTACCCGCAGCCATCTGTGCACCTGCCCTGCGTGCACACACAAAATGCATCTCGTCTCGCACAAAATTACTGCTGCGTTCCAGCCCACCTAGGTCGCGCTAATCAAGCACCAATTCATCCAGCAGTGTCCTCGGACCCAAAAGCCTGCATGAGGAGCCAATGAGACAGATGATAGGAGCCAAGCACCTGGCAGTCAGCCTTCAACAATGAGAAGTCGTTACGAAAGCAATGGTTCCCAATCAGCGACTCACGTAGGGGCTCACAGGGTGCCTTCACAGTGACAGAGGCATCTGATTCAACACTTATGGAAGCCCTTGCTGTCCCAGATACCAGCCGGTGATCTGGGGAGGTCCTCAGCCACCCACACTCGCCCCAGTGAGCAGAGACAATGCCACCAGAACCCTAATCCCGGACCTCAGGTACTCATCAACAATGATTGCAAGGTCTTGGAAGGCACAGGCACAGTCTGACACGAGCTGGGGCAGGACGAGGGCATCCAGCACCGCCTCTCCCTGTGATGCAGACAGAAGTTCAAGTTCCTGAGGATGCCTGGGCTGGGTGATTCTCACTGCCTGCAGAATTGCTCCCTCTGACACCTTCCTGCCATCACCGCCAACCACCTGCAGGACCGCTTCATGGCTGGACCACGCAGGAATTCTTAGCCAGGCCAGGAAGGTGCCTGCGCCTCCACTTGACACAGAGAGGTTGACTGAGGTCACACAGATGACTGGAGTGGGCAGGACAAGACCTGAGGCCTCTTACCCCTAACCCCATTGAATTTGCCCCATCCCTGCCTGGTGTATAGCCACAGCAGTCAGCGAATGGCGGGCAGGACCCCAAGCCTGCAGCCCGGCTGGCGTGGAGCCCTCAGGAGGCACCTGTTCACAGTGCACTCCAGCGGGCTGGGCGGCTCAGCAGCAGCGCTGCTCTGCACTGCTCAGATTCAAGGTCCCCGCAGATCTGGGGTCTGGGGACGCCCTGCTCCTCAGAGGACGACTTCCGGCCAAGGCTTCACGTGGCACGGGGAGCAGCAGGGCCCACCAAGCCTCGTTTGCAAGAGCACAGGACCTGCTCGAAGGGGGCGCCATGGTGACTTCACCACCTGAGAGGCCCCGCCTCCTAACGCTAACAGGTGGAGTGCTGGATTCCAACACGCAAGCCCTGGGCAGGACCCCAACACTCCCTGAGTGGCGTCTGGGACCTAGTCTGATGCACCCTTCTCAGATCTCGCTGAGGAACAGGCCTGACCTCAGCCACCAGCAGGATCGGGAGAACACAGGACAGATGTACCCACTCCCTGGAGAGACAGGGCGCAAGCAAGGGGATGGGTCTGCGGGCCTGGCCACCTGCAACAGGCCAAGCACTCTGTGAGCTGATGGTATCAGACACGTTTCACGTGGCTGCCGGTATCTCTGCACAGGAAGGAAATGGAGCCGCGAGGACACATGATCCGGCCACGCCTCCCAGCCACGGGAGCCAGGGGGAGGAGTCCAGTGCCCGTGGCGACCCCCTGGCTTTGCACCTCGTGTGCTTCCTCCTCCGAAGTGCTGCCTGCCCCCTGTGACCGTGTAGGCTTTCATTTCTATAGCCTTCCACCATCAGTGTTAGCTTATTTGGTTCCTGGGTTGTGTAGTGGTTTCTAGGAGTGAAACGAGCCAGCTCTGACCCTCTCAGTAACGACCCCGGTCAGGCGGGTTGAAGCAGCCGGAGCTTGCGTCCTGTCCGCCTGTTCTCAGACAGAGAGGGAGGAAGGAGGGGAGGAAGGAGAGGACTTGCATGGGAACGCACCTGTTTGTGCGCGAGGAACCTCTCCAGGCAAAACAAATCGCCGTTCCTAGCAGAAGTGCTTCTGCCATGTGCTGGGGCGGCCGCCCGCTTGCTCAGCCAGCTTTAGTTCCGGTCACTTCTCCTGGATGACTCCTCAGCCCCACCCACACCGCTCCCTCCCCTCCCCGTGAGCCTGTGGCCCGCACTGTGAGTTCTCGGAACATCTGCGGCTTGGGGGACACGCGCATTCATCTGTGCATTCTTAGACCTGTGTGGGGCAAACTGTCAGGCCAGCAGCATATCTGAGCAATGGCTCAGTGTGAAGAGCCCCACGGAGAGGTTCTCCACGCCTCTGGCACCAAGACCCCACCCCCCAGAGCAGGCGGGATGGCTCTCCAGCGCCCCTGAGAGTCAGAACGGAGACCAGCAGGTGGAAGCTTCGTGGCATGGGATTAGAGTGCCACGCAAGAAAGAACATTCTAGCAGTCAGAACTCTGCAAAGGGGAGGACAAAGGTGGTGACGTCATCCGCCACATCCATGCGGAGGCTGGGAGCCTCGCATCATAAAGATTATTTTAATATTCCCACAGCCAAGATTTACCGCTGCCAAGCACAGGAACGGGGTGGGTGCAGGGCTTGGCTTGTGAACAGGCGGTTCGGGCAGCCTCGTGGCCGTCACCTTCCTCTGTCATCTTTGTCCCTCTTCTCTGTAGACCCCTCCTGCCTCATCCATCAAAGGCAGACACGACCACGCTGAGGAGGGACAGGAAACAGCCGGCAGCAGAACGCTCTGACAGCAGTGAGGCTGTGTGTGTCACGTGTCTCTTGTGGCAAGGTTTATATTCGCTGAAAACCAACTGGAAACTTCCTCTGTATTTTACAAGGACATTTGTGAAATAAATTCTGCTATGTACATGCTGTAGCTTGGCAGACTAATGTCAAAAAGATTATTCTAGAAACGTGTGTGCCTTGACCTGGGAAATTTACCTTGAGACGCAAGTAAATCCCTAAGCAGGTACAGAGTAGGGCATGTAGAGTGATGCTATTTCCTTCGGGTGTGTCCAAAATGTAGCTTGGCCATGAGCTTCAGGAGAGAAGTGATTGTTAATTCCAGTTATGCCAAAAGTCACCGGTTAGCATAAGATCCAGGTCCATTATAACAGAAAACTCAAAAATCAGTGGTTGAAGAAAATGGGAGATTTAGTTTCTTCTCGCACACACACAAAAAATTCAGAAACACGTGTGCCAGGACTAATGCGGCTGCTGCTCTCTGGACATCAGTTCCTCTGTCCTTAACAAGTGCCTCTGACCTTCAAGACCACCTGTGATCTAAGGTGGCTGCTGGGGTTCCAGCCATCACACCCAAGCAGGAACAAGAGAAACAGGCTGCATATGCCTCCGTTAAGGAGTTGTCCCGGAAGTCCCAGCAACCACACCTAACTGCAAACAAGGCTGGGAAAGGCAGTTTTAAGCTGGCCACAGTCACCGCCCCAGTCCTGGAACCCAGCTGCTTGTGTGTGATTCCCAGGAGGAATCCTGGATTCCCTTCAGGACAACTCATGTGTGATCCCATAATCTCAGTTCCGGTCGGGGCTGGATCCCCACGCAAGGCATCGGGGTGCTGACACCGCCCCAGCCCAGCCCGCCCCGGTCTCGGAGGGACCCGGCCAGCGCTCAGCCTGACAGCATCCACCCCTCCGCCTGAGGTGTGGTCAGCAGCGCCCAGCGCCCTGGCTCTCTGTTCTCCTCTCCTCCCCTCTCCCCTCTTCCCGTTCGTGTTGTTGATTCTCATGCAAACATGCACATGAAGATCAAGGAAAGGCTGGGTAACAGCATCCCAGCCCAGGTGCTGCCGGCTGCGAGAGCCACGGCCAACGTTGTGCCGCGCGTGTTATGCGCACGCCCTAGCGGCTCTGGAGAGGCCAGCGGCGGACGCCAGCGGGGACAGTGCGCTCCGCCACCCCAGCCAGCTTGCGCTCAGTTCTCAGTCTCCTTTCTCTGCCGGAGACGCAGGGAGTCCCTGAGAGCCACGCGCCGCTCAGAGCAGCAGAACCTCCTCCATGGAGAGCCCTTCGGGCGGACCCCGCGTTGCTCCCTAGCGATGCCAACCGGTGCGCTGGTCCCCTGGTCTGGGAGCCCGCGGAACCCTGGCGCGTGGCTGCCCTTTCGCTCAGATACCATCTCTTCATGAGTAGTAGCAGCGCACAGGCATCGCGCCTCTCCCACACCGTGAAAACCAGTCCCCTTAACCGTGGGGAAGCCGGCTTGAGGCTGCCTCGTGCTAAGGACGCAGTACGAGGGTTCCCAGAGACGACGCTGAATCCAAAAGGCCAGCTTCACATCCCGGCTCCACCGCCGACTAGCGGTGTGACCATCGCAAGTTATCTGACCTCTCTGTGCAGCCACAGCTTCCATGTTCGTAAATGCGAGTAGCACCAGGCGTTAGGAGACCACCGGGACTGCCTCCACAAGACCCGTGCTCGTCCCTGGTCCCTGGCCCTCGCGAAGCTGACAACATGAAATTCTAAATGTTTAAAAAAAGATTTCTTTCTTAGCCGGCGCCGTGGCTCAATAGGCTAATCCTCCACCTTGCGGCGCCGGCACACCGGGTTCTAGTCCCGGTCGGGGCGCCGGATTCTGTCCCGGTTGCCCCTCTTCCAGGCCAGCTCTCTGCTATGGCCAGGGAGTGCAGTGGAGGATGGCCCAGGTGCTTGGGCCCTGCACCCCATGGGAGACCAGGAAAAGCACCTGGCTCCTGGCTCCTGCCAGGATCAGCGCGGTGCGCCGGCTGCAGCGGCGGCCATTGGAGGGTGAACCAGCGGCAAAAGGAAGACCTTTCTCTCTGTCTCTCTCTCTCTCACTGTCCACTCTGCCTGTCAAAAATAATAAAAATTAAAAAAAAAAAAAAGACATGGATGAGAGTGATTTCTTTCTTTTGAAAGTCAGAGTTAGAGAGAGAGAGAGGAGAGAGAGAGAGAAGAGAGAGAGAGAGAGAGAGAGAGAGAGAGAGAGAGGTCCTCCATCTGCCGGTTTACTCCCCCAGAAGGCCACAATAGCCAGCACTGGAGTCAGGAGCCAGGAGCTTCATCCAGGTCTCCCATGTGGGTGCAGGGCCCAACACTTGAGCCATTTGTCTACCGCTTTGCCCAGGCCACTAGCAGGGAGCTAGATTGGAAGTGGAGTAGCTGAGACTCGAACCAGCACCCTTATGAGATGCTGGCATTGCAGGTGGCGGCTTTACCCACTAAGCCCCAGCAACGTGTTATTGTATCCTGCCAAATGCTAGCTTGTAAACAACTCACTGGAAACCAGCGGGAAGCATTGCCTGAGCTGTCTTAACCTCCCACCTGGGCCCACGGCGGTACTTTAGAGTCCTACAAAATACCAGGAAGTGATGCAGAGAGACCCTCCAACCCTCGTCCCGGTGGGAAGGACGCACGGGACTGGATTTCAGCGCTAACTGGGAACACTTGAACTTGATGCACTGATTGAACGTCCTGAGGGTGCTTGCACACATACGGGGTCCTGGTGTGGCAGGGTGGGTAAAATCCAGTTGCTGGAGCTAGTCCACCTGGCTGGGGGCTGTGGCCTCTCCACTCACTAACTCAGGGACGGGGCACCCTCACTTCCCCTCCCTCACCCTTGGCTCTCCCCGCTGTGAAACAGAGATGGCTGTGCCAGTCAGGATGGCATGAGAAAACCCTGCTCAGGGCCAATAAATCAATAAATGCCGATGCTAAGATGACGCAAGCCGGATGTTAGCCCTGGGGATGGCCAGGAGACAGAGCCCTGGTCTGTAGCCCTTGGCGCCTCCCATGCAAGGAAGGGAGCCGGAATCCCAGAGCCCTCTGCTGTGCTTTGAACGCCGCCCCCAAATCCATGTGCTGGCTACTTAGTCCCCGAAGTCCCGCCGGATGGTATTTGGAGGTTGTTGGGGTTGGCTGCGGTCAGAGGCGGGGCCCCATGTTGCCATCAGTGATGCCCCGTGATGCAAGAAGGGGAAGAGGCGCTCACGCCAACACGCTTGTGTTTGCTCTGGTTCAGCGCGCTCTGCGTTCCGCCGTGTGCTGAGGCCGAGGGAGCTTTCTCCAGGTGCCCGTGCCAGGCCCTTAGGCCCCCCAGTCCCGGGGGCCCCAGAGACCCCGCTACTCCTTGCGAATGCCCCAGGCTTGGGTCTTTTATGACAGCAGCAGAAAACTGACTGAGCCATCATCATCCAGTCACAAAACAGGACCTTGCGGGCAGCCCAGATCAGCGCACTATGCCCAGGCCCCACTGACCCCACCAGGCAGAGGACCGAAACCCACCCGTCGGGTGCTTCAAGCCTGGGAGCCCTGGCTGCACCCCCTCCCCACTGCCTCTCCCCCCTCTGCCACCTCCTCCAGGAAGACTGCCATTTGCAGCTTCCCTTGGGGAGACTCGGCCTGGCTAAGGAAGAGCTGCTCCCCGGAGCAGAGGGTCTGAGCGTGGAGACCTCCAGGGCGTGGCCTGGTGACTGGAGTGGCTCTGGTGGGCCCACCTTCCTCTGGACGGCTTTCGTCTTGTGCAGCTTGGGGCTGGTGGGTGCCCGGAGCTCCATCTCTTGGCTCCTTTGCTCTGGGAGGGAGACGGATCAGCCCCGCAAGAGGACGTGGATTGGCCAGCGCCGCGGCTCACTAGGCTAATCCTCCACCTAGCGGCGCCAGCACACCGGGTTCTAGTCCCGGTCGGGGCGCTGGATTCTGTCCCGGTTGCCCCTCTTCCAGGCCAGCTCTCTGCTGTGGCCCGGGAGTGCAGTGGAGGATGGCCCAAGTGCTTGGGCCCTGCACCCCATGGGAGACCAGGATAAGCACCTGGCTCCTGCCATCGGATCAGCGCAGTGCGCCGGCCGCAACGCGCCAGCCGTGGCAGCCATTGGAAGGTGAACCAACGACAAAAGGAAGACCTTTCTCTCTCTCTCTCTCTCTCTCTCACTGTCCACTCTGCCTGTCAAAAAAAAAAAAAAAAAAAAAGGAGTGTGAGAGGCCAGGCCACGTGGGAAGTGTGAGGAGGGGGAGGGGCGGTCTCCAGCGTGGCCGCAGCTGGGCCACGTCTGCTTTCTGTCTGTGTCTGCACACGTCCTCACAGGCACGTGCACCAAGGGCTGACGCAGACTTCCCCCAGCTACCTCCAGGTGGACAAGCGCCCAAGAGCAGCCTCCCCTTAATTCTGCTCCATGCAACCCTGCGTGGCCAGAACACCCCCTCACCCTGCCCACATCCAGGCTGGCCCCCACAGTGGGGCGCTGGCCAGGAAGCACCGTGCCCCATGCCAGCCCCAAGTCCCAGCCCGGCGGCACCCCTGGGCTGCCTTTCGGTGGAGGCATCTGTGAAATTGGAACAAGGGCCCCTCCCTGAGGCGCTCCTCCTCCGAGGAGGAGAACGGGAGCAGCTGGCCTGTCTTGGCCACGCAGGCACCT